TGTGTGCGGGGGGGGGGTGGGGAATGCCCCACCATGTCCTCCTGGATGAGCAGTGGTGGCAGCTGCCGGACCAGCGGGCAAGCACTGGACCACCAGCTCTTGGAAAAGCAGTGCACAGCTGTGAGAGCTTCCCTCACCCCCTGCCCCCCCCCCAATTCCTCCTGGACAAGCTGTATCTCTGTCCTGTGCCCTCTTCACCCCAGCTGGGCAGCCCCTGCCCCAGCCCCTGCCCTACTCCTCCCTCACTGTGGGGGCCTTGAGCCATGCCCTTTTCCTCCCTTTCCCCCTTCACCACACCAGACTTACCAGCTGCACACATCTCTCCAAGCTGCCAGGCTGGTATTGGAAATTGGATCGGTATCAGCTGATATGTTTCCTTAAAAGTTGGCTATCTGTATGGGCCCCCAAAATCTCTATTGGTGCACCCCTAAAAATAAGTCCATACACAGGCAGCAAAGTTCGGACAATGGCAGCAATACTTAGTAATCGGCACGATGAAACAACTCTTTAACCAGAGGCAAAATAAGCAAGTGGAAGACTCTCCTTACCACAAAAATGAAGCAACAAAATATTCTTCTCGCTAGGAAAAGGCGCAAGCAGGAGACCACTCTTACTGGCTATCTGACGCATGCACCTCTAACAGCTATAACCTTCCTCGGGTGGTTATACCTTCCTAGGTCCACCCTCCAGGGAGATTCTCTCTCTCTCTCTCTCCTGAAGAATGCATCCTAGAAGACTCTATTGGGGGGGGGGCTCTGCCATGAGCCCTCAGAGGCCACAGTTGCCACTGCCAGAGCCAATGAGAGCAGAGCTTTTTTTGAAAGCTCCGCACTCATCAGCTGTGGAATGTGAATGACAGCAGGCTGGCACTGTTAGTTGGGGCCAGCGCCAGCACCCGAGTCTTTCCAGCACAGCCTGTGCTGAGTGCTGGGAAGAACCCAGTGCTGGTGCTGGCCCCGGCTGGCAGCAGCAGCCTGCTGTCAACCCGCATGCAGATCCAGGGCCTGCATCCCCTGGGATAGCTGTGGGGCTGTGCCAGACTCCTCCTGGGGGGAGCAGGCTCCTGGATCTGTGTGCGGGGTGACAGCAGGCTGCTGCTGCTGGCAAGTGATATTAGTTTTGCTTTGAACAATTTGCAGTGCAGTTTCACAAACCACTCTGCATCTATCTCCTTAACACTTTTCAGGCTTTATGCCCTCAGAAGGGGCTACCATCCCTGTAATTTTCATCAAGAAATGACAAAGTTATAGGCATTTTTGTGATTCCCCATTATAGCCTATGGGCAAAATGTGGAAATGCATCGAAACAGTGAAACAGTTTCAATGAAATGGAACAGTGCTTTGAAACAGCAAAACAAAACAGTGTCCCTTTGAAACAGCACAGCAGAAGTCAAAATGAAAAGGTGCTGTTTTCTCACAGCCCTAATGTGTAGTCAGTGGATTGTAGCTGTGACCTGGGCCCTGGCTTGGGCCCGGGCCCAGGCTCCGGCCCCAGCCCTGGCCCTGACCCCATGCTATCATTGCCCCATGATCCCAATCCCAGTCCTGCTCCAGCCCTACCCACCCACCCTACTTCTGGAAGCTGCTCCCCACCTGCCCACCCATGGCCCCATACCATTTGCCCTGCTGAGCATGGAGCAAAGCCACTTAGGGAGTTTTGGTGAGCTGTTGTGGGCAGGGGGATGGTGCCGACCCAGCACGAGAGAGGTGGGGGAGGCAGGTGCTGACCCGACCTGTGACAGCTTAGCAAAACTCCTGAAGTGGCCCTCCAGCCTAAATAATAGAATTTATTGTTTACTAGAGTAAGTTACTTTCACCATTATGCATCTTGGTTTTTCCTCTTCTAAAGTATTAGGTATATTAACATTTAGATAAGGCATCCTTTACCCTTCAGTTTTCTTGTGTGTGTTCTGAAGATAACAGTGTTACATAGGTTACATGAAGGAAAGAAGTAATCTGGTCTTTCAGTAATAGGAGGGAGAACCTGGTAAGGGAGGTATGCTGTAACTGGAAAATAAGGGTTTTTTGTTTTATCAAGACAGATTATAAATGGTTGAACAGAATTTTAAAACAAGCTTGTTCCCAGAGGTTCAACTAAAATTGTTTAAGCATAGTGTATTTATCTGCCTCTAGTGGGCAACGCATGGTGTATGCATAAGAATCTTAGGTGCCTGATAAACCTGCCACAAGTAGCCCCACCATGTTGCCACAAAACCCTCCAGTTGGATGCAGTAGCAGTGTATAAAATCTTAGTATAGCATCTTTCACTGATTTATAAGAATTATTGTTTCTCAAGAACAAAAAGAAATGCTTACATGTCCTGGCTGTTTATAATAGGCAGTCCACTGCTAAGATGGAGATGTCTGGAAAATAATTAGATGGCCCATGTGTCTTCTGAGGAAGTGTGCACATACAGCAGGAAGCATCTGTCTGTTTCACAGAGGGTCAGTGTGATAGACCATTGAAGCAAGCTACATTCAGTTAGAAGCATGGTCTGCTTTAACTTAGAATATTTTAAGATGTAAAAGGGCTCAGGGAAAGGTAAATCAAGGAATAAAACAAATCCCATGGAGTCCAAGAAGGTCCAAGAGTGTCTCAGGCTTTCAGAGGATTCCTCCCCAGGAAAAAAAAAGAAAACACTAGAAATCAGACCAACTGTTTGGTTGCAGGTGTAAATTAGCTCTAAACAATCCTCTGTCATCCTCCTGCATACTTGAGGTCTTAGCTGGCTGAAAGTTGTTCTGAAAGATTACACAAAGGGCTAACAAAATAAACTTAATGTAGAGCTGAAGTGACAGTTTCTGCTGAAAACTAGCGGAGGTGATAGCTTTAAAAACTATATTTTCTTACACAGGGAGGGCAAAGGAGGAACTGAGGCACAGATAGGTACCCTAAAGGTACAAACTATTGGTTCATCAATGCCATAGGTT